AATATTTAAAGTCCATTTAATTTATTTTTAATTTTATAAAGTTACAAAAAAATATTTTTATATTTTAAAAATATTAAGATAAAACTTTTTTAAAAATTATGTAAAGTACCAAAATATTTAAAATTTTAGAATAATTAATAAATCATTAAAAGGATAAGTAATAATTTATTACATATTTTAGCACTTAAAATAATTTCTACTTACTTATCTGCAACTCCTGGAGAATTTCTGGTACCTAAAAACATTAGACTGTTAGCTTTTTACCTTTTACATTTATTAAAGTAAATATTTAAGAAAGAATTTTATTAATTTACGTCAAATTTTTTTATAAAAAAATAAAAATAAAAATAATAAAAAAATATCTTAATCGATCTTAAGTGAAAGAACAATGAAAACATTTCTCATCTGACAATGTTTTTTATTAAAAAAATAATAAAATGAAATAAAAAAAATAATTTTTTGATTAATGTTCATGTGTTTTACATGAGTATACACTCCACGGATTAATTACCATCAAGAAATAAAATATTCTATTTTAGCAACTTAAAATGCAAAATACTTTCATCGCACACCATCTGTTAATACTATCGACATGTTGCTAAGCAACATTAATTTTGATTTAAATATGGAAGCTCAAGAAGAAAATTAAGAAGGTGGAAAAAAATAATAATATAAAGAAGAAGAAATGCTTTTGTAATCAATCATGTAAAGTATTTGTTAAATATTCTTTAAAAGTTGTTGTAAAAATGTTCTTCTCTTACCTTGTCTCTTACGTTTCTTTCGTACTTGTAGAAAAACTGTGATAATTACTGTTATGATAACTAAAATGATGACAACAGAAATAAGGAGACCTAACACTGGTCTAATAATAATGATACCTTCCATTCCTGAAATTAAAAATTAAATAATTTACTTTAAAATCTTTTAAAAATTGATTTAATATTATTATAAAAAGAACAGAAAGAGTTAACAGACTGTAAATAAATCCTTTCTCTGTTGTAGTATAACTTATATAAATTATATTTATTATTAGATTTAATTAATTTAGGAATGGAAGGAATTATTATTGGATTTTATACAAATGTAATAAAAATAATAATAATTCCTTCTACTGTTTAAAAACAAAAATAAATTAACTAATTTACTAAAAAATTCTTTTAATATTATTGTAGAAAAAGGAAGAGTTAATTTAAATTAACATATTTTAATAGAAATTCTCTCAATTTTAGTAAGCTTTTATATAAAGGGAAACATTATTTTTACACTTTAATTAATTCAGGAATTATTATTGCATTATTATATAGGAATAATAATAATAATAGCTTCCATTTTAAAATTAAAAAAAACATTAAATATATTACTAAAAAATTCTAAATATTATTATTACAAGAAGAAGAGAAATCCATTGAAATCAACAGATTTCAAATAAATTCTTTGTATTGTAATATGATTTATATTAAAGATATTCTGTGAAATAGTCCATAAAATTGTAAATTACTCAAAAGACATTGAATACAATTTATTAATATTATATTGTTAGAAAAAAAATTTACACAATTGAATTTTTTACATAACAATCAAATACAGAATATAGATACATAACATAAAAAAAATAAGTGAATCGATACCTCTCTCACTCACTCTCTCACTCTGGTTATTTTATCCTATACACTATTCAGAATCCTAACAGAAAATCAGACTTGAATAGAATACGAATATGAATCCATTTGCGAATTTTCAGTGATGCAATTTTCAAAGTTATAAAAAAAATAAGAAGTAAAAAGAAAAAAATTCGCTGACGTTTCTGATGATATCTTGACTGTGCGACAACAAATGTTGTAGGGATTTTGGGGATTGAGACTTGTATAACNATAAGGAGACCTAACACTGGTCTAATAATAATGATACCTTCCATTCCTGAAATTAAAAATTAAATAATTTACTTTAAAATCTTTTAAAAATTGATTTAATATTATTATAAAAAGAACAGAAAGAGTTAACAGACTGTAAATAAATCCTTTCTCTGTTGTAGTATAACTTATATAAATTATATTTATTATTAGATTTAATTAATTTAGGAATGGAAGGAATTATTATTGGATTTTATACAAATGTAATAAAAATAATAATAATTCCTTCTACTGTTTAAAAACAAAAATAAATTAACTAATTTACTAAAAAATTCTTTTAATATTATTGTAGAAAAAGGAAGAGTTAATTTAAATTAACATATTTTAATAGAAATTCTCTCAATTTTAGTAAGCTTTTATATAAAGGGAAACATTATTTTTACACTTTAATTAATTCAGGAATTATTATTGCATTATTATATAGGAATAATAATAATAATAGCTTCCATTTTAAAATTAAAAAAAACATTAAATATATTACTAAAAAATTCTAAATATTATTATTACAAGAAGAAGAGAAATCCATTGAAATCAACAGATTTCAAATAAATTCTTTGTATTGTAATATGATTTATATTAAAGATATTCTGTGAAATAGTCCATAAAATTGTAAATTACTCAAAAGACATTGAATACAATTTATTAATATTATATTGTTAGAAAAAAAATTTACACAATTGAATTTTTTACATAACAATCAAATACAGAATATAGATACATAACATAAAAAAAATAAGTGAATCGATACCTCTCTCACTCACTCTCTCACTCTGGTTATTTTATCCTATACACTATTCAGAATCCTAACAGAAAATCAGACTTGAATAGAATACGAATATGAATCCATTTGCGAATTTTCAGTGATGCAATTTTCAAAGTTATAAAAAAAATAAGAAGTAAAAAGAAAAAAATTCGCTGACGTTTCTGATGATATCTTGACTGTGCGACAACAAATGTTGTAGGGATTTTGGGGATTGAGACTTGTATAACGTCTGCATATTTCAGTCACATCTGGAGATGTGTCTCTAACGTATCAGCAGCATTAAAAATCGGTCTTATGCTTTTGGTATCTGCTATGTTTCAATAGAAATACAAATATTTCTCGATGGTTACCGGATATTTACAATATGAAAAGGGATATAAAAAAGAAGACTTTTCATCTAAATTTTATCAGATAAATGTTGATTTGAATTATAATATATAAATTCTACAATTTACTTTTGGTAATTACCTTCATAAATATTAATTTCACGAAACAAAACTTGTAAAAATAAAATGAATTTCTGTTGAAAAATAAAAAAATATATATAGAAAGAAAGTACACACTGCACATTAATAGGATTGTAAGAGAAAAGCACTAAACTAATGAAAATATCAAAGATGCATTAAATTAATTCAGAAAATAGGCTAAATATTTAAAATATTTTCGAATTTCTACCTGAAAACATTCTATTTTATAATATATTACTGTCATTTTAATGCATTACATAAACAGTTGCAAGTCAAAAATGATTAAGAAATCTGACAAAACTACTTTTCGTAGCTATAATCATAGAAGTAGTAGAGGCAGTAGTAGTGAATGTGGAATATTGAATACATAATTTTGTCATGACTTAGCGTGTTCTGTCGCCAGATATTTCGTTTCATTAAAGATTTTAGTAGATTCATAACTATTTCGTAAGTAAAAGAAAGGAAGGAAGTAAAAGGAATATACATAATCTGCATTTAAAGAATGTAAATTAATATATCATGAATATATTATCATCATGAATATATCACGTGTATGTCACGAACAGAACCATCATGAATCTCTTTTTTCTCCTGTTTAAATTAAAATTCCGTTAGTGATATTTTATTTTAAAATAATTTAATCTCGTTCAGACGGAACATAAACAAATTATTCGACATCTCATTCCCATTTATCAATTTTCTAGAAAATTATCGAGTAATATGCCGACAAAGAATTATTATTTTAGATAAATCAAAGATATTGTACATACAGATTGACACATTTTATCAATTCTTATATAAATTTTCTTTGATTTATTAAAATTATAATTTATAACTTCTTAAAACTTATTTTTATTTTTCATTAAAAATTCTAAACTAAAGTTATTCTACGTCCAAAATGTCAGATCTTAATTCTAGTTGCAGACACGGTAATAAGTCTTGCAAATATTTTTTTAATGGTGTTTTCTGAATTACTTAATTTAATTACAACCTTATTAACATATCTGGAGTATTTCCAGATTCAATTTATTGATTAATATAATAATAAGATAAATTGTAATATATTTAAATTATTTTTCTATAATTTAAAAATAAGATTACATATAATTTATAATATAAAAATTAGTTTTATACCTGTTAAAGGGGGTGAGAAATAGAGGGATGAAAATATAAAAATCTCAATTTTCTATTTTTTCAGCCTTAATTTTGTTTATATTTTATTATTAAATTTTATAATTTTTCACATTATTTAATTAAAGATATTCTATAGAGACAGCAATAAAGGATAACTTAATGTATTATATTGTACTGTACATGGTGAACAACAGAGGCAATAATTCAATGTAAATATATATATTAGCACTTATTTTTCACCATATTTAAATATTTTAAGTGTAAGCTATTGACTTCATTTTAGTATATAAAGATAAATATAATATATTTGACTGTAAGAATGCTTTATTCAATTGCATTGGATGAAAGTAATGGGATTACATCACCAAATAACAATAATTGATTATAAATGTTTATTCTTTCTATCAAAATAAATAAATATAAACGTCCTACGTGGAAATTTGTATAATATTTTGCTTGTAAAACAGTTATATTTACTTATTTTAATGGCTGATAATGGTTTTTTCTTTGTTTTCTAGTGCATTAGCTACATATAAAACTATAAATATTTATTCATTTAAATTCTTTTTGGAGTAATTATAACGATTTTAATTATCAAATAAAAACCAAAAATCGCTTAAAATATTCGACACAAAATAATTAAACATAATTCGAAATTAAGTATCCAACATAAAGGATTTAAACTTAAAATTTGAAGAGTTATTCACGATTTTTCATGCCTTAGATTGATATAAAGTATTAAATCTTTATTAATTTAAATTTAATATATAAATATTTAAAGATATTTCCTTAAAAAAACATTAAATAATATAAAGAAGTCGTTAGATTTTACGACATTTCTCTTATGAATTTTCTGCAAATTTCTTCCTATCAGAGAAAGACTTAGAAATGAAAATTATCATTTGACAAAGGAATGATATTAAATTTAATAACATGACGAAAACAATCTCATTAAACTTAATGCTTATTGATATTGCCACTATAATTATTATTGTTAACAATATTCGTTTCCTCAAATAATAAAATGCAATTTTTACAATGAGTATATCTTAAATATAAATGTATATATATAAATAAAAATATTTAAATAATATTACACAATATTATTATTATTTAAAATTTTTAAATAATCGAAATCGTTTTACTTAAAAGGGGTGCAATTATTATCTTTTCGGCCAACTTCGTTATTAATTTAAACATAAAGTCTATCATTAAATAAAACATTAATAAAGTTAATTTATGTATTAATTTCTTAATTTTAAAGAAAATAATTAATTAAAATGATTAATTAATTTTGTGAATGTCTTAATTACGTAATGTTTAAATATTTTACGTTAAAATTTTAATAATTTTTTAATTAAAAACTATGTAAAAATACTTGTAAAAATCTGTTTTCTGTAAGAAGAATCGTGATAAAATCTATTGACATGTTTTTTTTAATTTTAAAGTATGATTAATTACATTAAAATCAAGAAAGAAAATGTTGGAAAGTAAAAATTTTCTTGTTGACTCGAAGCTTCGAAATCTTTATTTTCTATTCAAACATTTACAATTCAATCTTATTCTTTTATTAAGACTGAAAAATAGAGATTGAAACGTTAAGGATGAAAATTAGAAAAATCTAAATTAAGTTCCTTTATCTTAACATTTATTTTAAGATAATTATTTTTAAATTAAAAAATTAGAATTAAATACTTTTTTGTAATTAAATAATTAACAATTTAGTTGTATAATTAAAACATTTTTTTGAAATTAATTTTATAAATAAGACGTGAAAAAATGGTAGTAAGTACGAATAAAATTATAATTTAAATAAGAAACATACCTACTTAATACAGTCAAACTATTTATATTTAAATTATATATAATTAGTTGAGTTACAGACAGACATTCGTACTTACTACAGTTCATAATTTAACTAGTAAATTGTATAAATTTCTAATTTAAACATAAATAGCTCTGTTGAAGTATGATTGTCTGTCTGTATTTTAACTAATAAAACATATGTATTTATAATTTAAATATGAATTTTTAAAATATATTTAAAATAAAATTGGAAAACTTGTTATATTAATTTTAAATAATATTCTAAAGTAATATTAATGTTTGTAGAATGCTCAAGAATTGTTTTAATGTCCTCTTCTAATTTTATTGACTCATAACTTTAAATTATAAAAATATAAGATTATTTTTAATGTTTTAAATCCACATTGTAGGAATTAATTCTATTATTTTTTCGGCTTCTTATTGTTTAAATTCATTGTAAAAAATCATTTTATAAATAAAAAATTATGTATATTATTTTTTTCTCTCTAACAAAATAATACAGTTTTTGTTTAAATTTGAAACAAATTACTGTTTTCGAATTATTACTTTACTTAATTCTTTTTTATTACCTTTAATCCTATGTTTTATACATTTTTTTTCTTTTAATAAATGAATTTTTGAATATTTAATTTTGTAGATTATTATGTATTAAGGTTTCTTCTCGAATAAAAAACCAAATTATCTTAAAATGCTTATCTATTTAATCATTGACATCCTTATACACAATCATTTTCCTTAATGAAAAAAACAAAGAATTGCCAGACATTCAACTTGATCAATAGGAAGAACTCTAACAAGTGTAATTTGCCTAACAATAAATTTTGAAAGAACTTATATAAAAGAATTTCTGTGATTTGTTACTTTTACAATATTATGTGTGCATATATGTTATAATATACGTATATATATACACTTTTATCAAGCTTGAAAATTCATATATAGAATAAACATGAATACTTATATTTAGATAAAGTATATACATATAAGTGTGCGATTTGAAGAGGGCTGGAAAATTTTCCTTTCTACTTTTCATATCCACCGCTGTACAGAAATGGGGTGTGCCAACTGTGGATAGCTTCTTTATCAAACTCGTCAGTGTGAAGTTTAATTTTATACAACGTACAAAATTGTTTTCTACGTGTAAGTGTGTAATCATCATTTGTGACGTCTAAATTGTACGTGTTTTCCAACAGAAATGGTTAGCAGCCATTTTGTTTGCTTTTCGATAGCGCTCCTTCGTTTCGCTTTGTTCTCTTGTCTACTGCTGGACAGTAATATTTAGAAATGTTTAAGATAAACACAGCTAATGATCTCCTCCTGGACTAGAAACCTGGTGGAGAATTGCTTAGAGGTGTCCTTTTAGTGCTGAACACATGTTTTAAAGTGGTTCAAAATCCTGTTACAATACACGTAAGCTATCTTAATTAATTCGTTATTCTTTTCCAACTGCAATAGTAGTATTACCATGATCTTAAACCCACCATCCCCTAAATGAGATACTAATTAAGCCTATGAGAGTGATCATCCCCTCTAGAAATTTTACAAATATACACTGTATATACGTGATTAAAACACGCATACACACAGGCGCTACGTATATATATATGTACATATCGAGTATGTATCTGTAAGTCTGCTTGAGTAAACATCACATGTAACTATATATATAGAGTCGAGACGAATTTCAAACTTGATAAATATTTTAAAAATTATTTTTAATAATAAATAATTTGGAAAGTAATATTTTAAAAGTCATATTGATGACTTATCAATAATTAATTTATAAAAATAAGTAAAATACTTATATTAATTACGAAAACAATTTTTAATGTATGAAAAGTGTGTTACGTAATTTTAAATATTAAAAAAATATATATTGTTAATTATAAATAATAAAAATTAATATTGTTAAAGTGTGTCGACTGTATTTTTTGAGGTTTTTCTTTTAAAATAATTTTAGTAAATTTTCAGATATAAAAAAAAAATGTTTAAAAGTGAAGAAAATTATTAATATAAGATTAATTTTCGCGAATAACGAAGTATCACGTACGACACTTTCTGCGAGAAAAAATAATAAATAAATAAATATGTGTAAAGAGCATTTTAGCATCAGCAAAGTCATTAAAATTTAACACACATTAATAGAAGTTATCTTGCCTGTTAATTTTGCGGCACGTTGTAACGTGCTGGCTGACAGATAGTAAGGTATGCTTTTTCCTTTAGAATTGACAGAATAGATCATTATTCTGTAAGTCCTTCCACTCGATAAGCCATGAAGTTGAAAAAATGGATGCACCGACGTCGTGTTCATTTGTAGTCTAGACAGCAATTCGTCGTAAATNTGTATTAAGGTTTCTTCTCGAATAAAAAACCAAATTATCTTAAAATGCTTATCTATTTAATCATTGACATCCTTATACACAATCATTTTCCTTAATGAAAAAAACAAAGAATTGCCAGACATTCAACTTGATCAATAGGAAGAACTCTAACAAGTGTAATTTGCCTAACAATAAATTTTGAAAGAACTTATATAAAAGAATTTCTGTGATTTGTTACTTTTACAATATTATGTGTGCATATATGTTATAATATACGTATATATATACACTTTTATCAAGCTTGAAAATTCATATATAGAATAAACATGAATACTTATATTTAGATAAAGTATATACATATAAGTGTGCGATTTGAAGAGGGCTGGAAAATTTTCCTTTCTACTTTTCATATCCACCGCTGTACAGAAATGGGGTGTGCCAACTGTGGATAGCTTCTTTATCAAACTCGTCAGTGTGAAGTTTAATTTTATACAACGTACAAAATTGTTTTCTACGTGTAAGTGTGTAATCATCATTTGTGACGTCTAAATTGTACGTGTTTTCCAACAGAAATGGTTAGCAGCCATTTTGTTTGCTTTTCGATAGCGCTCCTTCGTTTCGCTTTGTTCTCTTGTCTACTGCTGGACAGTAATATTTAGAAATGTTTAAGATAAACACAGCTAATGATCTCCTCCTGGACTAGAAACCTGGTGGAGAATTGCTTAGAGGTGTCCTTTTAGTGCTGAACACATGTTTTAAAGTGGTTCAAAATCCTGTTACAATACACGTAAGCTATCTTAATTAATTCGTTATTCTTTTCCAACTGCAATAGTAGTATTACCATGATCTTAAACCCACCATCCCCTAAATGAGATACTAATTAAGCCTATGAGAGTGATCATCCCCTCTAGAAATTTTACAAATATACACTGTATATACGTGATTAAAACACGCATACACACAGGCGCTACGTATATATATATGTACATATCGAGTATGTATCTGTAAGTCTGCTTGAGTAAACATCACATGTAACTATATATATAGAGTCGAGACGAATTTCAAACTTGATAAATATTTTAAAAATTATTTTTAATAATAAATAATTTGGAAAGTAATATTTTAAAAGTCATATTGATGACTTATCAATAATTAATTTATAAAAATAAGTAAAATACTTATATTAATTACGAAAACAATTTTTAATGTATGAAAAGTGTGTTACGTAATTTTAAATATTAAAAAAATATATATTGTTAATTATAAATAATAAAAATTAATATTGTTAAAGTGTGTCGACTGTATTTTTTGAGGTTTTTCTTTTAAAATAATTTTAGTAAATTTTCAGATATAAAAAAAAAATGTTTAAAAGTGAAGAAAATTATTAATATAAGATTAATTTTCGCGAATAACGAAGTATCACGTACGACACTTTCTGCGAGAAAAAATAATAAATAAATAAATATGTGTAAAGAGCATTTTAGCATCAGCAAAGTCATTAAAATTTAACACACATTAATAGAAGTTATCTTGCCTGTTAATTTTGCGGCACGTTGTAACGTGCTGGCTGACAGATAGTAAGGTATGCTTTTTCCTTTAGAATTGACAGAATAGATCATTATTCTGTAAGTCCTTCCACTCGATAAGCCATGAAGTTGAAAAAATGGATGCACCGACGTCGTGTTCATTTGTAGTCTAGACAGCAATTCGTCGTAAATTTCTATGTTAAATATTTGCATCAATCCACCATCGTATCCCTCTATGCAATCAATAAGCAATGATTCTTCAGTTTCGTTTAAAACTGTACAGTTCTGTACAATGTCCGGTGGTGCTGAAAAAATATCCAAAACTATATCTGCAATTCCTATACTCTTTTTTATATTGTACTTTCTACTTCTTAAATATAGTATCTAATTTTTACTTTATTTCAAAAAAGACGAGTAAACTGTACTCACCCCTCCCTAAAGAACACCCGGAATAATACTTTAATAAATAAATAAATAATTGAAGAAAAATACTTTACTACAAGCTAAACTTTGTAATTATTTATGTAATTTATTGGCTTAATTTTTGTTTTTTTAATATTAAAACATTATAAATTATATTGCTGTATATAACACAGTGAAATAATTTATCATTATTAATGACTGTCTCTAAATGTTGTCAAATCAGACATCTTTAAAAAAATAAAATAAATTAAGTCATAGTAAATGATGAAAGAAGGATGAAGGAAACAAAATGTCTGTATCTAACTGCTATTAATCCCCATGGTAAGATATTTGGCTTAAATGTTTCAGTTGCAAGATTCCATCTCCTGAGACCAAAATTAATTCCACTACTAGGTGTAATCAATTTACTTCTAAATATATTATATATTATACTCCAGGAAAATAATCAAATGATAAATGATTCCAATATATCTTTCATATAAAAATATATATATTTAATAAAATAAATGTTTAGAATGTTTACTGATTTGAAAATTTTAAAAAATTTATTGATTAAACAAGGTTATTTTTATTTATATTTAAGCTTCCATATTAAAATATATTATACGAAAACGAGCAAAAATTATTGTGACATCATTACAATGCCGGGTTGCAATTTTTTATCACGTTTTTGATTTATTTAATGTAAAATATATGATCCAGATAGCACATTTTTAGTGTCTTGCCCCTGTAGATCATGCTTTTCCTATTAGCAGTAGAGTCGTGCCTATCATCTATCTCATTTCAGGGGGAAAATTTTGAATGTAATTCACGTGATTTCCGGTCTTCGTATACAACTAATCAGGCATTTTGCACCCTAAACTTTCTTATCTAATCTCGATTTTCATCTGCCTAATACCGTTCTCGAGCTTAAGGAAGGCCAGACAAACAGACAGGAAATTTATAGATCTACAATTTTTTCAAATTGCATCCCAAAAACTGGTGACGTTTTAGTAAATATAAAATAAAAAAAATAAATGATTTATTCCAATATAAAATAGTCAAATATAATAAAATTTTATATACATAAAATGATAGATACGCGATTTATTTCCCATTCAATACTACATAAATAGTAAAAGAGCGCCATAAAAAATACCAGAATATTTATTTATTTTTTTATGGACGTAGATATGTATAGAGTGGTATATTATATAAAAATGTTTACCCACTCACACTATCGTACAGAATAACTCATCTAATGATGACTATCACAAAGAAACATCGTAAGGATCAGGGGTCAACAATCTATAAATATTTATCAACACTCTTATTGGAGAAAGGCGTTTCTGAAATCAGCCATGGCAGAGATAAGAAGCAACAACTTGACCAATCGGTTGAACGTCAATAAACTTATTTTACTCCAGCTCACTATTAAAGAGCAAAATGCAACTTAAGTCAATATGATGTTCACCAAAGGAACATAGGAAACAAATAGCACAGCATCGATTTCCAATAAGCTGTTTCCTGGAATGTTAGCCTCGGGTTAGATAAGAACCAACGAACAATAGGCGTTGATATATCTTCGTCGTTAGACTTAGTTCCGGACTTCACCTGTGCAAGTGCCTATAAATGCTGATCCACAATTTCCTGATTTCTCATCTCGAATCACCGTGTTAAATAACCTGTTCATTATTTATTTTTTGGACATTTTGGGTAAATTTAATGCGATTTCAATCGATTTATTACGCTCAAAATTAATGTTTTCTTCGATTAGAATAGTAGAAATTAATTAATAAATCGTTTAATTTAAAATTCGGTGTTAAAATACACGTAAGAGATAAATGGAAGTGTAAATACCGTTGACGTGGATGAAGAAATTAATCAACAAAATTAATTCGTCTAATAATTCGTACTTAAAAATATAATTTATCAATTCTTTGAATGTTTTAAATAAAAGTACATTCAAACACCTCGATATAGCGCCATTCTAACAGCACGCTCTCGAGTTATTAAATGTACAATTTTGTATTGTAAACGATATCAAATGTTTTTGAAATGTTTACGTGGATCACTAATATATAATTCATATTGTTTTATATACTGCATTCTGATTTAGCGCTAATTTCAGAGGCGGTGGCTCTAAATAGAAATTTGACTGCGTGTAATAAAAGATACAATTACAAGAAAAAATATTGACTTAATTTTTTTCCCTTTCGCTAAACTCAAATATAAAGATTTTACATCTTAAAAATAAAATTACGATGTTTTTTCTTCTTTTTTTTATAATTCAATACTTGCTAAATAACGATATTTTAGTTAAATATTGAAATTCTATAAACGCAGAAGCACGTATAGTGTTACGCCATTTGTTGGAAGACAAAGTGCATAGAAAATAAAGATATTTATTAGAATAATCAAGTATTTGTCAAAGATAAACATAAAAAACGAAAAGATAAAGATGAAGGAATTTAGGACCGAGAAAGAACAACATGTAAGTGTAAAGAACAACATGTAAGTATTCTTGTCAATAAACGAAAAAGAACACCAAGTGTGAATCAAATAGCACATGACAGACGATGAGAGATCTGATCAATAAATGAGGTGTTGTGTAAGCTCTGAAAATTCGGTTGACTCTTGACCTCGGGTCATTGATCTTTTATCTTTCCATTTTTCTATTTTTGACATTAAACATTATTTACAACAATACAGCAATTTACAGTGAATAATTTATAATTAATCTACATTAAAACACGAGCAATGATGTATATCATTTATTAAATCATTTATAACCGAAAAATTGAAAAAAATTGATAGTAAAAGCTGTCCTTAATTTAGTCTATTGTATAAGAATTAGAGTAAATAATTCCCTAATTCCTATACAATAGAGTAAATTAAAGACAATTTTTACTATCAATTTATTTTTTTTAATAAAAAATATGCAAACCAGGATAACTTCCTACAAATTTAATGTTATAAAAGCGGGGTTATTAATTATATATTATATAAATTCAGATAAAAAAAATCATTAAATTTTTATCAAAGAAATTGTGAAAAATATATTAAAATTTCCTTACAGATAATCATCTTTTTCTAGATATTAAAGGGGAAAAAAGGCACAAAGAAGTGGAAAAATTGATTGTTGTGGAAAAAAATAAAATCCAATGAGAAAAGAAAATGTTCGGATGATATCTGGTGTAAATAGTTTTTTTATTGACCTTTTTTTATATTGCTGCAGTAACTATATCCAGACAAGACAATCCTATTCTATCTAAGGATGGAATCGTGTAATGAAATATGGCATTTTCTAATAAACTCCAGATAGAAAATTTCGCATTCTGCTATAATGTATGATATATTTATATATAAAAAAATTTTAACAGTTCGTCGTTCTTTACAAAATAAAACTAAATATATTTTTCTGGAAATTTTAAATTTATCACCGATTCATAAACATACATCGTCTCGTGTATACAATATGCAAATAAACAAATTTTCATATTGTATACAATACAGAACTTCTTGTTTATTTAAACAAATTCTTTTTTTAAATTGTAAAACTTTTTATCAAATATTTTAATAAATAGATCAGTAAAATTTATCCATTCGATATTTCAGAAAATTTAAGAAATATTCACTAAAAATCTAGATTTTCTAGAATCATTAACTCTACAAAAATTCCTATCTTAGCAATTATATATGTTAATAATATATGAATTATTTATAAAAATAATTGAGTAAAATATGGAATTTTATTTTCTGATCTAAAAATTGCCATTTTTTCGTCTTAACAATTAATAAATAATTCATCTCTTATACAATTTTCCCTTTGTTAAACGTATATATTGATGAATTTTTCATCTATTGATTTATCTAACGATCGATTTTTCATCTAAATCGTTAATGAAGAGATTGAGCAAAGTGGAAGTTAAGAAGAAAGAATCTCTTGTAATTGCATTGATGCAAAAAACATTATCCACATATCAAATGAATTAGATTTATGATCCATTTTGAAATCCCTTTCTTTACGTTATTATAAGTATTAAATGGAATTCAATACTTATTAAAGAAGCATTAAATGGAATCAGTAAAATAAAAATCCCCCAAAAAATATATATATATTTTGTTTTTTCCCTTCTTAAAGCTTGACCAGATGTGTACTAAGAAGTGACATCCTCTGCAACGTGCTCTACCATTGGAAATACATTAGCTCTTATGGAAAATATTAAAATTTCAAATTATAAATCTGTTCTTGACAATTATATTAATCAATTTATTAAATTTATAAATCATAGAATTAATTTGCACTCTGTATATTATCTTATTTTTAGAGAGCAATTTGAAATTACAGTCATGAAAGGATACAAGAAATGGATTACTAAATTCTGTTGAATTTGTAGTTTCAGTAGAAATAATAAAAAATTTTTAGAAATTTTTATATAGTAAAGATATAGAAGCGGGTAGGGCGGATCGAATGGAAAAATCTCATATTTTTACTTTATGAGCTAGAAACATCAACATATGAGAATATGATGCTGATAGAGTAGCCACGTAGTCAAAATTTATTTTTTTACTAAAAATTCGACAAAAATTTCAAATATTATTAATAAATTTTATAGTTTCTGCTTTAAAAATCGAATTGTAATTTAGTGAATAATTATTTAATATTATATTTTTATAGTATTATAATTATTCAGTGTTTTAAGCAATGGAAAAGTACCATTAAAATTGTAAGGATATTGTATATATAAAATAATGGAGAAACTATGACCAAAATTACAATTACGATAATGATTATAGCTTATGTAACTCTCTTAAACAATTTTTTTTAATATACTCAACATTTGCTGGAGTACAAGTGTAAGAAAAGTGTATGCAATTACTCCTGTATAATGATTAATCA